CAATCCATTTCGATTTTCAAATTTACGTTGGATTGAATGTTCAAAAATATCAAGTTTCGTCGTTGAAGGAAAAACGTTAGGTACCTGCCTGGTTTCCATTTTGTCATCCAAAAAAATTGATTTTTTTACCTTTTTTTTCAGCACATGGGTCCCACTTAGAGAGAGTAAGTCAAATTTTGCGGCTGGCTCCTCTTGCAACGGTTAAAAAAACAGCCACTCAAACATATAAAATTGACAGGATTTCTAAACAGACTGACTTGGCAAATTTTGATTGGCCCGTTTTTCTTAAAAAGCTGTCCACCTCCCAATGAATTCACGCCAAGTCGGTCTGTCACTTTTTCCTGTCCATTTTGTCTATTTGAGTAGCATGAATCCTGTCGAAAATCAGAAACAGGCAGCCGCTAAGTGTACCATACAACGTATTATGTCCGTTTACAAAACTAGTATGTATATATAATTTAACAAAAAGCATTTGTGTTTCTCGAAATCGACTGAAAACATGATTACGTAAGTCCTTTATTAGAGTCCATTTGACATGGCTTTTAAAAAATCAAACGGGACTTTTGAGACGCAAAAACTACTTTTAAATATGTTTTGACTAATTTTATGAAAGCGTTTTTGCTAACTATAAGAGCTTTTAGTGAAATTTTGTCCATGGTAACTTCCTCTAAAATCATTTTTGGAATATAATTTGTTGGTCTCAGAATCGAGACTTTCATACCAAAAATCAAAAGCAAGAAACAAAAATTGCAGAAAATATGAACACACAGATGTTTCGCCCTTTAGGACCCAGATGTTCAACTTTAACAGCCGCTCACCCTTTGAGCATCTAATAAGTAGATTATACTCAAATCCATTAAAAAACACAAAGAACAATACAAAATGTCTGAAGAAATCGATTTCTTCATTAATGTTTCCTCTCGCCTCTCTAATACAAAACCTTTCTCCTCGCAACCACTAGATGTACACCAAATACACTAACAATATCACGAAGATATTTACAGAGATCAAAAACAAGAAGATCCCAAGAAGATGAAGAGAGAAAACCACTCGAGAGAAGACGAAGAAGAAAACCCTGGAATACAAATCAACAGTAAATCTAAGAGTCGAGAAAGGGTTATAAAATCACCCTTAAGGCATCCAATCCATCGGTCCTGAGCATGTCAGATGTGAGGCCAAGATTAATTCATTTAAACAAAACAATCCGATGGCCCAATTACACAGCAAAGCCCAATGACAATAAGAGGCTCAATACCAGATAATAGAGAGGTAGCCCACAACATAATTTTCTTTAAAATGTAATTTTCAAACAAAAACTAAAATAATTTTCTCCAAAATTTCTTCTACAAATAGCAAAAATAAAAATCATGACAAACGAGCCCTCAATTTACCATCACGTGACACCGCCTCCACTTGTTAGCGTATATTTTTTTACTTCTCATCTTTGTATA